GCTACAATTGCTGAACCTTTATATCTGTCATGAAGGAAGTGTATCAAGTGGAAATTGACTCCACAGTGTGAGGATGCATTCCAGAAATTAAAGCATTCTTTATGTGAATCCTCTGCCTTGCAACTTCCAAGAAAAGGTGAACACTATATTTGGCATACTGATGCTTCAAATGTGGGATTAGAAGCAGTTCTGGGTCAGAAGGGTGTAATAGCGTATGCCAGTAGAATAGAACATTGAACTCTGCAGAAATAAACTATACTACTACAGAGTTAGAATATCTAGCTGTAGTATGGGCTACAGAAACATTTAAGGTATATCTAGATGAAGAAGAAGTTACAGTTATAACTGACCATGCTGCCTTGAAATATTTACAGACAGCTCTAAAGTTAACTGGTAGACCTAATGTGTTGGTCACTAAAATTACAAAGCTTAACATCTGAAATACTGCCCAGAAAAGGAAAAGAGAACCAGATCCTTGATGCCCTATTTAGATGTCTTACCGGCCTACCCCACCCCCAGAAGAAACTCCAGACTTGGACATCAGTAAGCTATTGCCTAAACCTTTAGCCATTATGAATGTTAACACTAGAGAACAATTGGCTACTGAAGAAGCTAAAGATGATGAATATAAGTATACATACTTTTATTTGAAACTTGACTATTACACAATGATTCTATTATAATTGCAGAGACTGTAAATAAATCCAAATATTTTGTCTTGAATGATAATGCTCCTTATTACACAAAAAGGGTTGTTAAAAATGGTGAATTCAGACCAGTTATTCCCAAAACATTGAGATTGGCAATTTTAATTGAATTGCATGATCATCCTACAGCTGCTCGTTTAGATGTCTGAAAAACAATAGATAAAGTATCCAGACGTGGTTATTGGCTTGGTATTGAAAAGGACATTAAAAATTATATGTTGCCATGCCATGTTTATCAAATCACTAAATTTGATCAGAAGTGTCCAGCTGGATTTATACAAAGAACTAAACTAATGCAACCTCATAAGGTAATAGGAGTTGACATCATACCTTAAGTTTAGGCCAAGAAATATATATTTTTTGGCTGTGACAGATTATTTAAGCAAATGGATTAAACTATATCCTCTCAAACAAATTACCAGGAAAGTGACTCTTAATAAACTAATTAATGAATACTTGTGTAAATATAGTATTCCTCAGGCTCTTGTATCTGGGAATGGTCCACAATTTGTGTCTCAACTGATGGATGAAACTTGTAAAGCTATGGGAATTAAACACATCTTTACATCTCCATATCATCCTCAGTTTATCATAACTGAAAGAGTAAACAGAAATATTGTGCCAGGATTTTAAGTATGTAGGTCGAGAGATTGGATTTTTCTATAGTAGGTGTCTGTGAGTTGTTGGCAATAAATTCGAACAATAAACAGACAACAAACAATCCACTTATTTTAAAATAATATATTCAAAACAAGTAAAATGTATGGTATGTACAAAAATTATTTACACAATAGCAAATCACGGTTATATCTCAAATTCTAAATAATTATCTTTTCTTGTCAAAAGTCCTCTCAGGCTGATTCAGTTTCTTTAGAATCCAACAGACAAAATGAACTATTTTTCTTAACTTTGTTTCTTACTGTAGAATCTGCGATAGATTCACTTACGTTACTCTATGGTCGCTCCCCAGTGGCACAGCGGCATTTTTGCAGACTTACAATGCTAGAATCCGGGTTTCGATACCCGTGGTGGGCAGAGCACAGATAGCCCATTGTGTAGCTTTGTGCTTAATTACAAACAAACAAACAATACTCTATGGTTACCACAGATGTATCTCTAAGTTTAAATAATTGTCTTCTTTTGTCAAAGTCCACACAGATGATGGGTCCAATTACTTTAGACAAAGAAAATTAGTTTCCTTATCTCTATTAAACCGTGAAACTCACTTTAAAAATATCGCCTGTTAAGAATAATCACTCACTCGCCGGCTAACTTCACGTTTTTTAACTTTTTTCTGACTGAACTTCACTTTCACTTCAATTGACTTGTTTTCGCTTGTTCCCCATATTTATACTTTGTTTATTGAGGCCTCGAATGTTCTATAAATTATGCGAGCGACGCTATAATCAAACAACATCTACTTAAGGTAACGATAAAATTACCGAACGTTAGAGTAGCTTGGCATCAACAGTACAACAACAATTTAACCACACACACAACATATGACTCTTACTGAGATACGACCAATTTTATCATAACTATTCCCTTTAAAATAATTACTTTTATCTTTTTTGTTATAAAGAATAAATAATCAATAAATATTAAGTCACAAAATAAATTAAATAATAACGCTTACACTAAATAGTCTTGTATATCCAACATATTGGTAGAATGATATCTGCTTATGTCGAATTTGGGATAATCATTTATCTGAATTTTCTCTAGCCATTAAAACTTCTATTCATGAGTCTAAGGTTATATGTCAACCAAACATAACTTGGGATGTGAGATCTTCCTTCCTTGGGACTGACTGACAAAATACCAAACAGCACCTCAAACTATTGATGAACGAACAATGGAGTTACAAGATGTTATACGGAAGAGAAGATCCAATGTTGAAAAGGCTCGGAAGCAACAGTGATAAGCCTACAACTGTAAGGGATGCCTAGACACATTTAAAGTAGGTGATGAAGTATTATTCAGGACACATCCTTTATCTTCTGC